GCCGTTCGCGAGTAGAATTATTAGTGAAGAAACCGTGAAACGCGCTTCGGGCGATTTTCAATTGCGCTCCGATCCGTTGCTTCTTGCACAAATAGCAGGAGGCAAACACAACGGGCTACGTCCAATTTCGATGTCCACGGCCGCGTGGAGCGGCGCGTGCATTTCCGAACGATCGTACGCCAACGGAGAAAGCGCGGCCACGTCAGAATTGATTTCATCGCTTCGTGGAGCGTGGTGTACGCGGGCGGCATGGTCCCTTTTCGCTTCCGTCCCTTCCAATCTCTCTCGCGTTCACCTGTGCCCGGGCGTTAACTCCTACGAGAAGTCGCGACGGCGCATCGGGAACGTCGTGCAACCGGAGAGAGTTCGGTGGCCCCGCGACGCGGGGACAGGAAAATCCACGGGCGGAAAAACCACCGAAGAAAAGACTGACTGGCAGATACGATCTTTTCGTGCTAATAATTATCGCATTAATTATAGCGCGAGGAGCGCACTCTCGTCCACGCTATTCACGCGCGCGCACACGTACGCGCATACTTGTACGTATACACACACGATAAAGGAACGGCCACGGTTGAGCATTAGCAGAGGCACATGGGTGAGACTGATTCGCGAGGCAGATCCGACAGCGAGGACACGCGTGAGACGCGTAACGAGCCCCGCGCGAACACCCGCGCCGCCGTCGAACTCGCTTCTTCGTAGCAGCTAATTGTAACGGCGTAAGACGCGCGTCATTATGATGCCTATCGTTTCTAGAAGCAGGATGTAATTTTACGAAGGTTTAGCGGCGAATTCTTCGGCGGTCATCGAATTCCCCGGGATGTTTCCGACAGCGCGCGTGTAATTTCCGTTTCGTGTCTAATCTCGACGTACTAGAATTTTCAGAGTACTTTAAAAATTGAGTCGCTTATTTAATTAATGGCGATCAAGATTAATCAAAAAGCTTCGAATAGTACTTGGATCGTTGGTGCATACCAAATAAAGTTGTCTTCACGAAATATGCGCTAAAACGAATTGTATATTCGCTTCGAATAGAGAAACGGAGGCTTCTCGCGATACCATTGTGACACTACTTTTCCGTAGTGTCACAATGGTATCGCGAGACGTATTGTAAGATGTATGGGACATGTAAAGATGCGTGCATTGGAACTTTTCGGAACATTGCGTGTTGTGCATCGGTCACGCGTGCCAGCTAGGAATTCGTGTTCAAAGCAAACGAACGAGAAAAGCACCGTGAGGAGGAAGAGAAGAGAGAGAGAGAGCAGAATATTTTGCAGAGAAAACATCCCATGAGAATTTCGCGGGTGCGATCGTGCGAAAGCATCGTGCCAAATTCCGTGCTAAACTCGGAGATCGTGTCGATCGTGATCGTTTCTGCGTTTTTATATTCTGCTCGCCACGATTTATGATCCATATCATACTATAATTAATTGCGACGTTATAATGTTCTTAAAGCATAAATTAGGTTTAAATTTCTAAAAAAGAGGACATGTGATCCGCATAAATTAAATTAAATTCAATATTTCATCGAGATTTCCTATAAATAATTCAAAGAAATAAAACTAACTATTTTTGGAATAATTTTTGATTAAAAATTTTTGACATATTCCTTTTAAATTTCTTTCAATACATTCTTAATTAATATTGTATTACTATAAATAATTACACGTTAACAATAATCTTTATAAAGTATCATTATCTCTTGTATTAATTTTTGTATGATAAAAAGTACATAAAGATCGAGATGATATGTTTTGTTCGCTTTCGAAAAGCTTCTCAGGCATTATTATCGACCCATGTCAGTCATCATCGAGCGCGATCAATATGGTGTCTTCCGGTCTTACATTGCTGGCGGGAGATCACTCGTCGTTCGCGTCGCCTAAGTTCCTTTCGCCGCGTCACGCCGTAATTAAGCAGATCATTAACGTCATCGCGATCGGAGCGAAGGAGAACGCGGGCGAATCGCAATCGCCTGCTGGCGCATACCGTTACGCGATGGTTGCGAGGCGATAGGGCACCTTGACTAATGCGACCGCGGCGAGTTGCACCTTGCAAATTGGCGGGAAGCATGCCTGCGTTCTCGACCCTCTACCTGAAGAAAAACCTCGTGCCACCGTACGCGATTTAGAGACGCGCTTTTGTGCTCTTGCGTTTGTCCACCTTGCGCCTTGCGAGAGTATCAGCGATTCGACCACACCTGTTCCTGCCTCTTTGACGATAAGCTCGAGAAAATATTCTCGATATCTCTGGTCAAAATTGTTAGCCAGGGAGGCTAACAAATCGATTGTCAAACTCGAGATATAAAAGTAAAATCGTGAAAAGACGAGCTTTGTGATAAAAATAAAAAGATTCGAAATATAGAAGAAGCGCGAAATGTAAAACACAGAGACTCACGATTGCCATTACTGCACGAAATGACTGACTGTAATATTAACGCGATATTATGCCATTACGTCATCGCATCACATCGGTATCAGTCGACACTATAATTCATCAAATGCGCTGCATTTAATAAAAATTAAACGTATAGTTCGCCGGGACGTGAATTGTTGTCATTAGTATGTCCCCGGAGCGCTGTCCCGCCGCGACGGAAAATTTCAATTTTCCGCTCGAGATAATAGATAATAACGCAAATATTTTTCCGTGTGACGGAGGTTCTCCGCCGGACAAAGGATTCTATACCTCTACCTCTCTTTTGCCGTTTCACCGTCGCTCCACCGCGCTTTGGCGACGACACCGACGAGAGCGACGAAGACGACAATGCGAGCTGAACGTAACGGCAAAGAGTCGGCGAAAAAGGGAGCGAAACGGAGACGCAGAAACGGGGAAAATGTATATGTATACGAGAAACGGTAGATGAGTTTTATAGAGAAAGAGAGAGAGAGAGAGACGTACATAGACATGGAGAGCGAAAGACCGACAGAGAGAGAGTGGAAGTGGAACAAAATGCTGATGGCAAAGAGCGATGCTGGAAACGAACTGAACGAACGTCACAAGAGCCAGTAGCAGCGCACTCTCCTATAAATATGTATAGCCAATATCCGCTTACATTCGGCCATAGCACTCGGCGATATCGTCATGCAGATAGGTGAAGCAGACTACGGGTTAGAGGTAGGTAGGTAGGATAGGTAGAGGTGGCGGGTTGATAGACCTGCTCTTGGTGTATGTGCGGTGCCGGCTGTGTCGCCGCCACGGTTCGACTTCGCGCATGATGGTGAATCCTTTGCCGGGGCACGTCATATCGTAGGAAAATATCTAATCTGCATGTGTTTACGTTTGACGTGTCGATAGCGCCGGTGCGCGGCTCTTTCGGCTCTTACCGCGGCGCAAATTGAATTATGGCGACGATGCAAAAAGGCAACGCCACGAAGATGGCGAGCGACCGTGCAACATGTGTGTTTCGCTGCCCTAGACAGGGTCGTCGGAAATCGAATTCGCGCGATGTGCGTTGAGACAAATTGCCGGTGGATCGAGTTACGTTCTTGTCAAACGAGCGAGTTGGGTTTTCCCGATTTCAGAATCAATTCAATTACGATGTTACCGCGTTCGGTTCCTGCAGTTTTATTTTTACGTTGCACGCGTCGATCTTTAAATCCCTTTACAGAGTATACAGCAAAAATCTCCAGCGCAAATATTATAATTTGCGCGATCAATTGATAATATTAGTCAATTATTTGTAAATTTGAGAATATCTTCTAGATAGATGCTTTTACGTTTTTCTTTCTTTCTAATCTTTTGTAAAATTCTGCTAGATTTGGTATCAGTAGTCTTGATATTGTCGAGATTATTCTGTGATTTTATTAAAATTATTAATTTAAAAAAAAACTAAAATATGTATATTTGTAAATTAAATGAGAAAACAGTTACATATTAATACGAACTTAAAAAAATATTATTTAATGATATATATTTTATTTATATTTAAAAAATAAAAATATTTATATTAATAAATTTAAATAATTCAGTATTAAATAAAAATTATAATAATAAAATCGGGACAAAGCGAGATTTTTGCTACAAAGATTTACTGAAAATCAAGATTAAAGTTTTCAATACCAATATAACATCTTTACAAATATTGTCTTGTCTTGGGTCTTGTCTTGTGTCTTGCAACCCTAAATTCTACATTAACCGGACGGCCCCGCGTTCGCGCGATTGCATCCGTTACCGCACGCGATGCAGGAACGCGAAAAAGGGGAAGACCAACGCTCTAAACGCAGCTTTGGGGCCCAAAGGCGTCACCCATTGCTCATTTCGCTTCTTTCCTCGGTCTCGTGAGGCGCCCTCGCGCCGGCTCTCGTCGGTATTTTTCAATTAATTTTTTTTCCCCATGCCCGGTCTCCCTCTCCCCCAACGTCTGAGTCTTTTGGGGCACGCGTGCCGCGCCGGATATCGACAGGGTGTTGGTATATACTCGAGAGGGCTCTAACCGTGCGGATACCGAAGCGAAGTGGTCGCGGATCAATCAGAGGCGGCCTATAATTAACGAGTTACGGCTCCGGCCGCCGCGCGTTTGCATTAAGACGCGGCTTTTTGTCACTCATCTCTCGAGGGTCCGACCAGTCCCCCGGTCGGTGTTCGTAATTACCTTGCGGCGGCAGACGGTCAGTATCCGCCGACGAGGATTGTATACCAAGGCGCGAGTCGGACCCGCCGTTTCTTCGCGCGAACGAGCGACGCGCGGATTCTTCTTAAGGGTTCCCCTTCCCCCTTCGTCCCTTCCCGATCTCCGTTCTTTCCGACTCTTGCACTCCTACGTGCACGCGGTCACTTCGATTGGCTCTATATACAGCGTGAGTTTTTCTTCGCTTATGCCTTATACCGACCTCGTGTCCTTCGAGACGACACCGAAGCGAGAGCGCTTTCGCGACGGAAAGGGAGAACCGGGAGAGGGCATAACAACATCTAGAATCGTAATTAGTAGGCGTAAACGCACGCCTACCAGACACTGCGACTTCTTCGTTTCGCTATCCGTCTGTCTCTCTTTTACCTTTTCTCCTTTTCTTTCTCCGTTTCACTTTTTTCCGTGAGTCCTGTGTGTCCCGTGAAAATTGTTTGCGACTTTGGGCCCGTCTCGTCTGGCGGAATGTGACATGAACTTGTCTTTGATCTATGGGAATTGATTGAGGACGATGAATGAGATTAATGACGCAACCTTTCATCGTCGAAGAAATATTTCTGTAACAGCATCAAAGTCGAGATTTATTTTTGAAATTCAACATTAAACATATCAATATGTGGGAACAATTTTTTTTTGTCAATGACAGCTTTATGACAAAGTATTATCTTATTTTGATAAAATATGAGGCTCAAATAATATTAGATGTGAGATGTATCGATATAATTCGATATTATATTATTATCGTCTTTTAAGACAAGTGAAAGAAAAACGTAAGTATAACGTCGAGGGTGATTGGTGTGTCTTCATTAAAATTTCAATTTCTACGCGCGCGCGTTTCTCCGAGGCGGATGTTTCCGTGATCTGATAGTATTGTGCGGATGCTATGAGCCACGCAATAGCATAGAATTATTTAGAAAGCAAGTATATCAGCGAAACTGCCTCGCTAATAAATCTTGGATAGTTTTGACGCAGTATACTCACGTTTGTAATTTTAAACTTATTATATTAATAATAATTCAAACATGAGATAGTTACAATGAATTGTAATTAAAAAGTTATGTTGCATTTACATTTTAATTTTTATTAACAATACAATATACATTATTTATGTTTTTCTTTATTTTATATTTATTTTTGTGTTATATTAAAAATAAAATAAAAAAATATATTAAAAATATAACAACAGATTATTATATTTATATATGAATATATATTTATAATAAAATATATTTTGTTTATATGCGTATAAATATATTATTAATAACGTTATTATTATATAAATATATACTTTAACAAAGTTAAAATTTTAACTTTTGCTTTTCTTAAATAGATTCGTTTTTAAATGATTCCAAGATATGTATCTTGCAATCTATTTCACCCAATTACATATAGATTCGACGGAGATATTAAGTTGTACGTTAGAGAGCAGACAGCCTTCTGCTAAAGATAATTTACAATTGCATGAACCATTCGTCAAAGATCGCGATCAATTAATTTGACATTCAATTCTATATGCCAGTGGCAGATGCAACCGTTTTGTCAGCATATATACAAGTCGTTTCAGAAATTAAGGCCAGAAGAACAATACTAATAACAAGAAAATGAAGAGTTTTAATAACAAATTGTTCTTTAATAAATTCTTAATCATTAAATTTGTAATTAATATACTTTGCGTTAAGCCTCGAGTAAACAATATCGGAATAAAATAAATATATTATTAAAATTTTGATTTAAAGTTTGGAATATTTTTTTATATTGAATATAGAGAAAAGGTTATCACATACACAATTAAATAATTTAATAATTAATCAAGTTTTTATTAAGAGAACAATTTTAATTTCAATGTTAAAGAATCAAAAAGAAAATGTATTATTTCTGATTAGACCTGTATATATGAACACGTGTACGAATTGGATGAGCGTATAAATGTTCGCGCTGGCAAATTCGCGGTCGATGAATTGTACGAAATAGCAAATCATGCTAGTAAAGAGCTGAGCGAGTAGTAGAAACTGTGAGAGGAAAAAAGCTAACTACAAAATAATGGAGGGACCGCGAATAGTGGAGTTAGAATGAAACAAAAGGGAAGGAACACTTCCGGCGGATACACATCATTTTTGTCACAATCGCGATAACATCAAGAGCGTTATAAGGAACCGTTCACCAGGATACTGGGCTTCATCTTTATTGCGTATCGATAATGATCTGTAACCGTCGACTAACTCGCACCGCAAGTCGAGTTGAACGCGTTTCAATGTCGAAAGAGACCGCCGCCCGCAGGAAACAGAACCGCAAATTGTAGATTATTAGCGGTGCTCATTAAAATGTACTTTCTTATTTTAAAATAGTAATATATTAAAATTACATTATAAAAAAATATATTATATAAATATATTTTATAATTATATTACATTATATAAAATAATATATTATATAAAATTACATTATAAAATAATATTTTATACCGTAATCTTTAAAAATAAAAATTTTTCAATAATCAAAAAATATAAAAAAATCTCTAGTATCATTTGATTTCAATTATTTTTTTCTTATATCGTCACTTAATTATTTTTTTAAAAAAGAAGATGTCTTTCTATGATATCACTATGATCACTCATTATTCAGAATTAAATAAATTATTATATATTAAATATTAAAATACATATTAAATTAAATAAAAAATTTCTAGATAAGTTTATAAAATGAATTTAGATTGTTGCTGAGATTGTTTATTTTCTAGGATAATATCATTTGCTTTGTAAAATGCATTGATCATATATTTTATAAACTTTTCTTGATGTGCGTCGATAATCATCGAGAACGCCGAAGAAAATGAAATCTATGCGAGTTTTAAGCGTGCAACGTGTGAGATGCGTGCGAATATCAGACGCATGTCCGTACATAAATCATTCGAGTTCGCGTATAACGCAGTAGCTGGTGCAATTGTTATGCTAACCACTTGCTAGTATCTGCTCTTATATAGCCTATGTTTCCTGCTCGACCACCTGTTACCCTCTCGAACCTCGACCCCGCCTTCGTAACATTCAGCTCATTCATTCTGGTTTGGCACATGTGTAACAATCCCTGACATAGCTGTTTTACACTGTTTTTCAGATCTTTGTTTTTTAGTTCCTGTTTATACTTAGCATGAGTTATCAAAGTATGCGCCATGAAGTTAAAGAATAGAAATATTTATAATAATCTAGCAAATGACAATTAATCCTACAAATTTTCATTGAACAATAAATCTACAGAATAACTGACGAGATTAACACATTTGCACGAAAAGAAAAACCTATTTTTAATGATGTATCTATCATTTGTCTTTAATTATAGATATCTACAATAAAAAATGTATGCGCAACTGAGGGAGAGAGTGCTGAAATTAATTATTTTTACATTGTTACATATTTAATCGTGCATTACCCGATTCACATCTTATCCTTTGCCCCACAACCGAATATACTTACAATATCATTTCCCACCATTAAGTTCAGATAAAAATAATGGACCGTGTCAGGGAATTTCCTTGATAACTATCTTAATAACGATCTATTCTTTCAGCAAAGCGCGAGTTAACGCGAGGATGAAAATGTACAACTCCCATGGGATTTATAAGAAATGATATTATCGATATCATGAATGCTATCAGATCGAGTTACTCAACGAAATATAAGGCGCGGGTCGTTCTAGTCGCCCTAAATTATACATCACAACGTGCGTAACGCGCGTCCAGGCATGAACAATAATGACTCGTGGTCTGCGCCTTGTCTTCGGTTAGCTCCACTACTGCAGACAGTTCTTCGCTCACCCCTCTCTGCTCAGCTCAGGAAACTATGACTATAAAAGCAGCTCGCAAGATGCACCGACGAGATCACCGCGAAAACAAATGACGGCGGTGAGCCCTTTTAATTGCCGCACCTGCCCCTCTCTAGGCAGCTCCTGCGAAAACCTGTAGGTGATAATTTTTCTTCCACAGTTGGTCGATTCTCTTTTCGACCGCGTCATTCGTGCCTATCCGAAAGACGTCATCGATGAACGATGATTCGGTCAGATATTTGCTAGTCTATGTATCACGGTTCTAATATATTGATATGTCATTTCAAACTACAGACACTAAGAACATATATACACTTACATTGTGAGTATATGTTTTGGCAATATAATAAAAATCAAATAATGCAACTATAGTGATGATATAAAGAAATAAAATTAATTATTTAATTAATTAATTATTATTTTCCTTTAATTTATTACATAAATTATTTCATTTTCTCTAAGAATCTTTATGTATATAAAATAATATTGAAATCTGTATAAAAAATTATAGAAGTTTAATAATTAACGTAATTCTTATGTCGTATTGAAAGATTTTGTAGTTCACATTATTTGATTAGAGCGATATATGCAATAAAAAAGAAATTATTATTTTCCTGTAATAAAAATTCCCACATACAAAAGGTAGAAGTGTCGATGGGATATTTCTAGCATTCCATTAGCGTGGAAGCCGTTGCAAATCGAATCGTGCGTGTGGAACATTTTGATGTATTATTCTTCGGGTCTTCTGTCTCGCTTACACGTGTGCGGCTCTCCTTCCCAGGTGCATCGAACCGCGAAGCGGCAAGGAGGGGTGTCACGAAGACGTCCGCAACTAGCACGAAGAGAGTAATCATCGAGCAGATATTTATTTTCTATTATTTCGTGGGAATCGAGCAGCGTGCTCTTTGTTCTGGATTTAGAGAGTTCGTTTAGTCTCTTTGCGATGAGGGGGATTCTTATCTTCCGCCGCGTGTTTCTATCAAAGTGACCGCGAGATGTACCTTGATTTCTCAATTTTTGATAGCCTGAATAAATTTAGATCGTAATCTCGCCTCAAGAACAGAAAATTAATTAAACTAGTACACATGGTAATATTAAGAGCAGGATAATTATCGTCTACGCTAGGTTCGTCCAAGTATTCGAGCGCGAATAGGACAATGCCTCATCCATATCCGAAGAATGTGCCTTATTAATTTTTATATTAGTATATTTAATTGATTTTATCTTAATGTTATTTTAATTTATACATTCAACACGCACGCATATGGCGAAAAAAACTCTATTAAGATTGTTAATTGTCGACGGAATAGTAATTTTTGGAATAGTAATTTTGTAAATTTATTGGCTCCCTTCGGAATAATCCTGGGAAGATTTAGAGATGCGTGCGATTCATTGCGTGGCGCGTTAGATGTTGCGTGATGCGCGGCCGATTGGTTCTATGGGAATCCGACAGCATTGACTGGGCCCGTTTATTAACCTACTTAGATACCTGATTGTCGGTCGAATCGAAACGCAGATGGAGATATTCTCCTCAACTATTGCCACTCTTGATTCGTTAGCGTTAGGATTGCGTGGGTGGAAGATTGCTTCCTCGATGCCCGTATTAGAAAAGCGATACCGAAGTGTGCAGATCCGTTAATTCTTCGAGGGAGATATCGTGCGCCCTAAACGTGCCAGAAATAAATTGATTACATTATTCTTTTCGTGATTTCGTGATAAATTAATTTCTCCTGTTCTTAAC